AGATCTAAATTTATACATATATATCAAATGATAATGTATGTAGCTTCTGAAAAATTCAAAAAGCATATTCTTATCTAGTCGTGGACGAATATTTTTTCCTAACAACAACAAAAAAGAAACTTTTCAAAAAAATATAAAAGTAAATAACAGTTTTTAAAAAGACATGATTGATTCCCGAATAGATAAAGTGAAATATATACGCACATACATTTTGAAGATACTTAAAAATTTCACAGTGTAATTATCAGGTTTCGTATATTTGATTTAATTACTTATAATTAATCGTGGTCTAAATCAATGGAAATTAAATCATCTAAATCAAAATATAAAGTGATAAATCGTGAAATTTACTGTAATTTTAAATATCCAAATTATCCTCCTGTTTAATACGGAAGATATCAGCTTGCAAGCTTTCTAAAAACTTAGAGCATTTTATGTTCTTAGTTTATTAGTTATTGTCATATCAACAACCGTAAAATTTGCTATCAAGGTCTTTTATGATCATTCACAAGAGATGGCAGCACCAACTATGACAATTCATCACATTTCTAAATGATTTTTTTTTTTAAATTCTGAGGACATTCTTATGATTGAATTCCCACGATTTTGCCACATTTTTCGAATCGATGTGAAAACATTTGACAGATCGTTTTTCTATCAAGGATGGGGATTCTCTCGGAGCAATTTACCGATCTCAGTCAAAAGGTAAGGATAGATACATATGTTATGGGAATATCTAAATATTTGTTCATTTGCATATTATGCGGGTGATAACTTCAGCATCGTGTTGAAGGTGAGGAATAAATAAATTGCGCAAATAGCACGGTTGTAATAAAGGTTTTATTTTCATATTATTACTTGATCATAACGTTGGCGATGATTAGGAATGTGATATATGTCCGCCCAAAAGTAATTTCAATGTAAAAATGTTATTTCTTAAAAGTAATTTCCCAGGTAAGATAATGTTATTTTAGTTTAATAAAAAATAATCTTAAATTATGATAAATAGTTGCCAAATTATATGAGTTTTATGAAAAATTCTGTTTTTTTATTCAAAGTTAGGCAAAAGGTTAATTTTTCCTATTAATTCTTGTATTCTTCAAATATCCTAAAAGTAATTTCAAAGCAAAAATTTTATTTCGTAAGCATAATTCGCCACGTAGGATAATGTTGTTTTATATTAATAAGAAATAATTTTAAATTATGCTTAATAGCTGCCAAATTTTATGTAAAATTCTATTTTTATATTCAAAGTTAGAGCAAAATGTTTGTTTTTCTTATTAATTCTTGGATTTATAAACTCAAATGTCGGCCCAAAAGGAATTTCAAGAAAAAGAATTATTTCATAAATTGAATACCCCAGGTAGTTATTTTATATTAATCTATAATTAATATATATAATGTTATATAATATAATGTTAATATTAATATTATATAATATTAATATCATATAATGTTAAATTAATATAAATAAATAATATTATTTGATATTAATGGAAAATAATTTGAAATTACGCTGAATAACTGCCAAATTTTATGTAAATTTCTATTTTTAAATTTATAATTAAAACAAAATTTTTACTTTCCAAAAATAATTGCATGATAAAAGTGATATTTCTGTAATATAGCTCCCCAGGTAGGAAAGGGTAATTTTATATTAATGAAAAATTATTAATTAATTTGCTGAATAGCTGCCTAATTTTATGGGTTTTATGTAAAATTCTATTTTATATTCAAAATTAGAGCGAAATGTTTGTTTTTCTTATTAATTCTGGTATTTATAAATGCAAATGCCCTTCTAAAAGTAATTTCAGGACAAAAATGTTATTTCTTTATTATATTTTCCCAGGTGGGATAATAAAATATGATTTTAAATTATGATTAATCGCTACCGAATTTTGTGGATTTTATGCCAAATTCTATGTTTAAGTTTTAAGTTGAAACAAAATGTTTATTTTTTTTTAATTAATTCTAGGATTTATAAATGCAATTTAAAATTATTTTAATCAATTCTACATCTAAATAAATATTTATAAAAGATAATGTCACCATTGTTCGGAATTTTTATATTAGTTTCAACCGCTAACCTGCCAGAATCTTTTATTCTTCCCATGGAAAAAGTGCTTTTATGAAAAACGTGGCAGCAGGTTTGCATGCAACTGTTTGATTACAACAAAATATTTATATCACAAGATATTAAATTTTATATAGTTATAAAATTTTGGTTGATAGTATATTCAGTTTCATAACTTGTAAGAATTAAGAATAAGACATTTGAGTTACCTGTCTAATATTTTGAAAAAGAGAGATGTTTTAAAAATGCATTAGAAATGGGGATGTTAACAAACTATTTTCCGTATATATCTGCTAGTTATGGACACGCCCTCGTTTTCATAGGGCATTGTTGCCTTTCAGAAATTATGCATTGTCACATATAGAGAATAATTCAGTGTTTGGCTTTTTTTTTTTTTTTTTTTTTTGCACTGAAACTCTTGGTTAAGCAACAGCACTTTATTAATATCTTTACTGAATATTAAAGTTCACTACTATGACAAGCGTTCTGTGACCCAATACTTTCCTGAGTTATCAATGCTTTTAGTCGATAAAGCTATCCAAACTTTCACAAAAATTATTATTTTCATTAAACGTTTTTCAAAACAGCATCGTCTCTGAAAAAACTAACTGCACCATCCTGTTTGTGAATGTATCCACTAACGCGTGGAAAAGAAAAATCAACGGGATATCGCCCCATCTTGTGGGAAAGGATTAATAAAATTGCATATAAATGCTTTGTTAAAAATAACATCCTTGCTCGACAGTAACAATGGATCTTTCTCTTCGAAATAAACTAAAATAAAGAGATTTTTTACGAGGTCTATCTATAATTAAGAGATATGGAAGGAAAACTATGAGATGTTATTTTGCCCATACATTTAACCTCCAAGTCAATAATTTTGTTATCAATCATTTCCGTATGTTATTCAGCCGATAGTCCAGGGCCTTTGAAAAATATGTCACACATTATCATAAAAATTTAAAAAACGTTATGTAAGCTTTTCTGAACTGCGTAACCTTAATAAACAGTGTGAAAGGACATGAGCATCTTTCAAGTAAATCTCAGAGATGTAAGCTCTGAGATTTACTTGATTAAATTGCTTGATTAAATTTCCTATTTAATAAATTTCGTAATTAAATTTCGCTATTAATAAATGATTTGATTAAATTTCCTAATTAACAAAATACTTGATAAATTACGTACTTGATAGACAGCTTACATGATTAACTAATGAAATCTATGAAGATATGTCTATATATAATGATATGTATATATAATGATATGTATATGTTACGGTG